CCCCCCCCCCCGCCCTCCCCTCCTTCAGCCCAGCCCTGGGGGGTTGGGGGGGGGGTTCCCTGGCTGGGTTGCCATGGAAACCTCTCAATTCAGCATCTCTGATCGCTGCCTCTCACCTGGACCATGCGTGGCTGCTGAACACCACGCAGGCACGGGAGCTGTGCTGGGGGCATGCAAGGGGACAGCCCTGCTCCCACACCAGCCCTCATCCTTCTCCCTCTCCTCTGGGTGTGAAACCATCACCCGGTCTCTCTGCTCTGAGGGGCTTGGAGAGGACGCGCTCCTCTGCCTCCCACCTTGGGCAATTCTGTCTGGCCTTTACACCCATGGTGCTGGAGAAACATCCCAAAACGGGCTGCTCTGTGTGTTTGTAAGGAAAAAATTGTTCCTGGAGCATTTCCCCCATCTCTGCCTCTCTTATGGAGGAACTGACATCTCTGAGGAGTGCTTCCCACAAGTTGTGCAGGGAGAAAGGAGAGGCTGGGCTCCTCCTAGTCGAGATATACAGGATTTGATAAATCCTCCCCACTGGCGCTTCTGCTGACAAGGAAATGTGTCAGTGGGGACAGGTTTGGTAACAGGGCTGTCACCTTCAGGAGCTGGCACCCTCTTCGTATAGGGATGCTGCATCAGGCAGGAAAGCTCTGGATCTCTACAGTGAAGAAAAGGCAGCTGCAGTTAAATAGTCTGGGGTAATCTTTGGGCCAGGATTTCAATTTCTTTCTGCTGAGACAGCAGTGCTGCATTGGAGCTGCTGTTCCAGCTTGGCTGCAGGTGCAGCCATTTTCAGCTCTGCCCTCGCAGGGACTGCGCTGCGTGCACGCACACACTCCCCCAGTCTCTGTGTGATTTAACACGGCTGCACCCCCATGCAGGTTCTTCCTGCTGTCCGAAGTCTCCCTGTGCAGCCTGCAGCACGTCAGCTGCTGCTTTACCTTTGGATGCTCTTTGCAAACACAAACTCAGCTGTTTCAAAAGCCTTAAAAATCTGCTTAACGAGCTTTTCTACCAGGAACAGCCCTTTCCCCTCCAAGCCCTTCTCCCGGGGCAGCGCTGGGGTGTCTGTGCCAGGTTAACCAGCAGACGGCAGTCAGTGTTTTCTGGACACCCTCGCTGCTGACTCCGCTCCTTGTTCAGAGGGAAGTGCTGCACAGACCTGCTTGGCTGGGCAGCTGGATATGAAAGATTTGGCCTGAGAAAGCAGGGGGACGATGTGGGGACAGGGCTACGACTCCCCTAGTGTTGCCCATACAGCAGGGAGCTGGCAGGATCCTCCTGTCAGCGCTTCAACCCTCAGCGTTTTCTCTTTACTCGCAGGGCAGGAGTCACCCCCGAGTCCCTGCAATGCTCCATCGCAGCTTTGCCGCCTTCTCCCTTCCAGGGCTCTCCTCCCAGCTCCTTGCAGTTTCTTTGCTGAATCTTCACCTTTCCTGCTGGTTTTTGCTAATTAAACTCCTTGTCTGTGGCACACCCTCACTTAGGGCTCGACTGCAGCTGCCCGGACGTGTGTCTGCACTCTGAATGTGACATTCATGACCCTGTAACTCCCCCCATCTTTCCCTGCCAGCATCAGGACTCCAAAAACGAGACAGAGGGAAGCAATACCCAGGATTTTCTTTCTTCTGTGCTAAGAAAACCTCCCTGTTGGCTCCATTTAATTCATGCTCATCTCTTGCTCCCTGCAGCAGCTGTGTCTCCTGGGAACACATCCCTGTGTGTCCTGCTTTGGATTCCTATCACCTCTGGGAAGGAGAGGAGTTGTCAAGGAGCAGAAAAGCCTTCTCTGGCCTTGCAAAGAGACGCCGTGAGCACAGCACTAACCTGTTGCAGTGCCTCATCCCCATCCCTTCATCTCTGCTCGTTACGTCCCAGCATCGTTATTGAATTCCCAAGCCCAGGCATCACAAGCTATGCTGCTCCCACGGTGAGACCACAGAGGAGGTGGCACTCAGCGCTACCGATCTCTAGGCTCAGACACTGTTTTCTTCTATCCATAACGAGGTCTGGACATTAATATCACCAGTCAGCAAGGCTAGAGTGAAATGTTTGCTGTCTGTTGCCTGCTGGGATTTGAAACCCTGTTAGCCCAGCATCAGTGGAAACAGAAGGCAGAGACTATATACAGCATGCTCACACAGCATCCTGTCTCATTTCTTGTTCTCCCAGCCCTTGGGAAAAATTAAGCGAGCAACAGGGTGAGGAGCTCGCGGTGAGGCAGAGGCTGCCCTGCTCTCTCCGCAGCACATGGTGCCACACGTGTGCAGGCTGCAGGACGGGGTGCGTGAGAAAGGGGTGACGGTTCCCATTTGTGACAGCCTGCGCAAGTCCCAGTGAAATACAAAGGGGACGTGACCCCCAGAACAGCCGGTGCTGCCGACTGCAGAGCCCTTCCCTGCACGCTGTGAGGACAGAGATAATCCTATGTGGACAGAGATGATGCCATGGAGACTGAGGCGATCCCAGGCTCCTGCCCCTCTCCACCTGGCAGCTTCCTACGGCTGCAGTTGACAGCACCACCCAAGGAAATGGATTTTGGGACCTTTGATTCCCCCTTCCCAGGCTTGTGCCCAGCAGAGCCTGGGGAGCTGAAGCTGATGGAGCAAGTGCTGCTCCTCTGGATTGC